TGAGTAGTGTTCCATGGTATGGATGTACCACAGTTTGTTTAACCATCCACCCACTGAAGTATATTTGGGTTGTTTCTGACATTTGACTAATACAGATCCATTGTGAACATCAGTGCAAAAATATTTACAGGAATATAAGTGTTCATCTATCTGGGATAAATACCAAAAATTACAGTTGCTGTACCTTAGGATAAGTGCATATTTAGTCTTCAGAGAAACTACCAAACTATTTTCCAGTGTAGCTGTAACATTTTACATTCCCACCAATAGCAGCATCCTATAATTTTATTTGCTAATCTGATAACCCTGATTGCTAATATTAAGGATCTAACTTTCTTGATTCTCCTTGCCCTTTCACCGAACATTTAACTTATTTCTGTTGGCAGCATTCTTCTCTTTCATCTCCCTCTGCAGCATGGCAGCTACCTGGGGACCCGTGGTTCTGGCACTCCTCAGTCCTTCCACTGAGACCTCAGTGCCAGGGTCTCCTTAATCCACACCTTTTACCCAGAACTCTCCTTCCCCAAGCTCTACTTTGTATACCAAGCTGTTGAGTCTGCTACTCTAACTGACACATCAAAGGAATTTAGACTCAATATGTTTGAGTATCTTTCATTTCTTCCTTTCATTCAGGTCGCTATTAAAATGTCACCCTTTTAGAGAGGACTTTCCTGATCACTTGATCTTAAATATTACACTCTGCTCAATCTATGTTATTATTTGTGTTATTTTTACTTATGCCATCTAAGATATATTAGAAATACGTTTGTGATCTAGACATAAACATAGAAATACATACATACATACATACATACATACATACATGCACACATACACAGGTATGCTCCCTGGGATATAAACTATACTAGAACAGGGACATTTTCCCCCTGCTATATACCCAGCACTTAGTAAATGCTTGACTCATAGTAAATACTCTCTCTTTTTTTTTTTTAAGGAATAAATGAGTATGTGCAACTTTAACTTGTTATCACTTGGGGACTTAATTCAATTTTTATTTAATCAAAGTTATCCATGTCCATTTTAAACAAATATTTCCTCAAGGCTTATAATGAAAAAGCAAAATGTTCCTCAGCTCTTTTCCCAAGTGTCACTCACTGAAGTAACCATTTTCAACTCTTGTTATTTTCTTCTTTATTTCTGGATAACCTGCTACACTGCTGTGCCTTGATTTGTCATATATGTAGTGATTAACACCCTCTGTCACTGCCCCACCACCTTGATTCCTGGGTTCCATTTCTTCCTCTGCTTTGTTTTACACACTCCCCTCTTTTCCTATGAAGAACTGGGGCATGGGAGTTTAAACTTTTAGTCCCTTTCATATCTCAGTATGTAGTTTTTCTCTCCTTGTAATCTGTAAACTTGGCTCTAAATCTTTTTTTTTCTTAGAATATGAAGTTATTTTTCTATTTTTCTACACCAGTCATTAGCTAAGGAATATTGTGATATGGGGCAAAGCAAATAACTTCCAGGTATCTCCAGCTCTCTGTACTGGCAAAGTGACCTCATTGCCCAAAGGAAATCCTTTGAAGGTCTTGTGTGTGAGCCATTACCAGCAAAACATGGGGAAGCTGGAGGATGGATCCCAGCACTGATAAAGAAGATCCAAGGAGAGTTGAGCAGGCACCAACAATATCCACTGAATTCTAGTGTCTTCCCCAAACAGTCATTAAATTAAGAAGTGACAATCCCTCATAATTATAAAGCACTTTGCGGTTTACAGGGTGTTTTTGTTTTTGTTTTTTTTCTTATCTCTTACTGCAGTTGATCTTCAGAGCAATTTTGTAAGGAGAGAAGAACAATATTATTATCCTTATTTTTCAAGAATCAAATAAGGCAGAGACTAAGTGACCTTTCAGTATCTTCAGATTCTAAGCCTAGAGTTTATTCCAGCATGCTGCATCATATTCAAGGGTCTTATAAATATTTTATATAGACATGGAATGCACACTAATATGAACTATTTAATCTAAGTATCATGACTTATATAACTTAAAAATACAGGAACTATTATAAGGAATAATCTGCTTTTCAGTTTTAAAATTATTTCCATTCAGTTCATCCAACATTACATAGGAAAAAAGGGTTAAGCGGCAAGCTTCATATTGGAAATCTTTAAAGCTTAGTTCCCACAATCATTCAAGGCTTCTCCCTGTGTTTCATTACTCAGATGGTTTAATTAAAGCCAATGTGAAAGAAACATATTAAAATGTTCCTGGAGCACTGCAAGAGGTTGATTCATTTAGAATGTACTTGGAGTTCTTCCATAATTTTCCCATATGGGCCTGTTTACATATAACCACTATGACTCATGATATTACTGCCGAAGTATGACTATTTTCCATAAATATTTCTAGCAACTCTTACAGTCTGTTATCGACACATCAGACGCTTCCTTCTTATAGTTCAGTAATCACTTAGCAATATAGTCTGCTTTTACCTTCCTGTTCTGCTAACACTAGACCACCACTAATGGGGAATCTCTTAGTGATAATTTCAGAGATGTTGAGAAGAGTTTACCCCATGGATTTACTCAGAACTAAATAGCTTCTATTGTGTTCGCTCCCCTCCTGTCACTTGAACCCTTTACTCTTTCTGCATGATCTAAAACAGTGCTTTTCAAATCTGGTGGCACGTTAAAATCACCTGGGGAGCTTTAAAATGCACAGATGCCCTGGCTCCGCCCCAGCTAATTAAATCAGAGTCCCGGGCACTGGTCTAAGTTTAAAGCTCCCAAGTTATTGTATCAGGAAGCCAAAGTTGAATAAACTGTCCTGAAACAGAAGAAATGTGATGGGTCCATTGGTGTCAGGAATCGATTTGGCTGTCTCACTTATCTTAGTAGCAGGTTTTCAGTTCCATTTTAGTTGAGAATTTCTCCATTAATTTTGGTCTTTTTTTGCAGATCTGGTCAACCAATTTGAGGTCACAGAGAGACAAACCTAGTGCCTAATGATATTACATCTAGACCAAGTTGCAGTTGTTTGGCATAGTTTGAATATATTAGAAAAAGAAACTGTTGTACCTTGTAGAATATGAAAACGGAAACTTTTTTGCCTTAATGCTTCTGAGCTTCACGTTCTCTCCATGAGCTCATTAGAAACAGGATCAGCAGTTATCTTATATGTATGTGTATATATATATATATATATATATATATATATATATATATATATATATATATTTTTTTTTTTTTTTTTTTTT